TTTATTGCCTGGTTATTCCCTGGTTATTCCTGGGATAATGGCTCTTGCATTAATCTCATTTTAATCGCGTTTTAATGTCAATTGCACAATTTTCAGGGGTTAATTACTGTTTAAACTCCTAATTTCCTGCCGTGTGATAAACTCCATGTTAATAATGAGGAAGGCTATGGCGGTGATAAGGGGCCAATCCCACGAATGTCAGAATAGGTCCCACATTTGAATCTGTTGGTGTTTCAGAAGGGCTGGAATATATGCAGACTTTCCCAAAATGGCCTGTATGCATGAAAATAAAACGCAGTTGCAAATTGCACATGCCTGAATCCTGTGGGTGTTCCTAGCTAGAGTAGACCCGCTGAATCAGTGGGATGCATGTATGTGCAGAGTCAACATTCAGCATTGGATTCCATCGGTTTACTCTATTTGGGACAATCCATAGGATTTTGGCCACTGGAAGAAATTTCAGGAGCAAACTTTTCCTAGGTTTTTAAAGAGGCAGTGCTAGCAGAGATATCTGCTCCTTTCCTAATCTTCAAAGACATTGCCATGTTAGTCAGGAAGATCAGTGTGCAAAGGGATCTTGCAGCATGTTTGAGACTAACCAAAAGATAGAAGTTGGTAGCATGAGCTTTCCTAGACTTGAGCCTACTTCCTTATGCATCTTAGGAAGTAGGCTGAAGTCTATGAAAGCTCTTGCTACCAACGTCTATCTCCTTATCTTTGTTCACTTTACAAAAATACCAGGGGAACTGGTGGGAGCCAGACAGACCAGTGATCTAGTAGTGCTTGTCTTGGGGCACTATCAGTACCCGCATTCCCGTATTTTCAAAATACACAGTTCAGCTATAAAACACATAACAGCTTTTTCAAGCCAGCCTTCAGGAACATGAGCATTCCTGTTCAGCAAGGGCATTTTTCTGTCCAGCCATACAAAAGCTGAGCCATTTGTCCTTATTCTAGACACGTCTACTCATGATTTTCAAAGAAAATCTTCCAAAATGGCTTACAGTAAAGTAAAACCCTCAGAATCAATACATATCTTTAAATAACCATAAGAGGGGTTTTTTAGATGAAATCAACAGCAGAAAAACTTTATATACTCCTAATCATCAAAAGTGGCAGTCTGGTGCTTAAAAAGGCTGGGAAAGTAAAAAAAAATCTTAACCCTGTGACAAAAAGAACAGGTTAGCCTTCCTTGAGAAAGTGCCCTGTAACAGGAATGCCACCATCAAGAAGACCTCACTTTCCAGCCTGCTGCATCTATGATGGCACCTTCCTCTTAAAAGTTATCTGCAAGTGTGGAGAAACTCCTATGGGGATGTTTACCTAGCATGTACCCTGGTCAGGGAACAAGGAAGAGGTTCTAGTAGGGACTCCCAGTCTGGAAGGTGACCTGGCTAGGTTGCATATGTATGTGTGTCTTTTGGGAAGAGCAGCACCAGATCCTGTGTTTTTTGGTCCAGTGAGACAGGAAGATTGGGCAGAAGACACAGAGGTTATTCAGAAGGCGAAAATTATCCAGGTAGAATCTGGGTTGAATCTTTGTTATTCACATGCATTTTGAGTGCATCTGATTAAGTTTCAGGGGAGCTGACAAAAAAACCAAAACTACTTAACCCGAGATAATTGATTTTGGCGGTTTTCCTGAGTTTTTCTAAAACAGGAGTCCCCACACTTTTTGATC